TATTATATATATATATCAATCTTATGTATAACTAAATATCTATATATATCATCTATATTATATATATATATATATCATGTGTGTGTTGTGTGTGGTGTGTGTGTGTGTGTTGTGTGTGGTGTGTGTGTGTGTGTGTGTGTGTGTGTTGTGTGCATGTGTATATATATATATATATATATATATATATATATATATCTCTATATATATACATATATATATACTATGTATTATATATTCTATATATATATATATAGATATATATATATATATATATATATATATATGTATTATATTATGTATGTCCTATATATTTGTGTGTGTGTGTGTGTGTATGCATATGAACTTCGTATTTTTTTCATTGCTGATCTATGTTAAAGGGAAAATTACCCCAAAGTTGGGAGCGCCCCCTAGATTTCAAGCTTGTTCCCCGCAAGGAGCAGTAGTTCTTTACTGTTTTGTTTTCATTATCTTTTCTTTTATTTTTAAATATTTCGTGGCTGTAATTTTAAACAAACGTAAACTAGTTCTTTTTGTTTTACTGTCTAGTTTTTTTAATAGCCCTTTCGTGTGTACCTTTTATGTATTTGGATGTTTGTAGATCTAGCGAACCAAACACAGCAAAACAAACTCAAAAAACTAAAAGGAAAGCAAGCACATCCCATTTGAATAATTAGAACCTTCCGTCCTTTGGCCTAACAACACTCTATCTATCTACTATATATGTATACAAATACACCACTTCATATATGTATATATAGATATGTAATATATAGACATATATATGTATATATATATAATATATATATATATATATATATATATATATATATATATATATATATCTATATATATATATATATGTTTTATATATATTGTACATATACATATCTATAATATTATAATATATATAATATACTATATATATCTAATATATATATATATATATATTATATAAATCTCTATATTATAATGTATCTATATGTACTATATATTCTAATATCTACTATATATATCTCTATATTTATATATATCTCTATATATATATATATATGATATTATATTTATACTATCATCATTACAGGGCATTAGAAGACTATGTGTGTATATATCTACATATATGTAAATATTGTGTATATATGTATATTGATCCGGCCCTACCTTGGACCTCAGCCTCATGTTTTACCCTTTACTCTTTTCGTCACAATAATTTTGATATCTGGTTTGTGTTTGGCCATTCTGGAAGGCCACAAACACATCGCTTTACTGTAACAAAAAACAAAAAAAATCCTACTTGGTGGCTTTGACAGGAAGCCCCTTAGATGTTGACGCGGCAGAAGATGTCAATAAATAATAAATCACCTAGATAATTCAACAGTGGGCGTGGTGAAACAGAGAAAGTAGATACAGATAGACAGTCTAAGAGACCAGAGGAGAGCAGCAGCGGAGAGAGAGGGCGGCGCCGGATTCACACAGCCTCCTGTTCTTTCCGTCGTATAATAATTATGGTATTGTTATTGCTGTATTATCAAATATCTTTCATCTGTTTTTGCAAAAAAAATTTTTAAGTAAGCAGAAAACAATAAGAAAAGAGTAGAGCCTACGGGCGACAAGTAATCACTTGGCATCGGTTGGGATCGATCGTAGGACTTCCGCGTGACGAGGTAACTCTACCAACCATGCTACTCGGAAATAATTATAATTTTTAGTGATGTGGAAATATAAACAACTATGGGTATGTGTTTGTTTGTATATTGTTAGTGGTGTTCGTTCGCATATAACTGTGCTTGTGTATTCTGTGTGGGTTTTATATGTTCTTTACAGTGACAATTTTTTCATTACTGATTACGAAGTGGAACGATTAGCATATAATACCGTATTAACGTATTTCCGACTGAAAAAATAACAAAATGTACGTGTCGTTTCAGTAAGTCCCGATTTCAACGCAGTTTATATATAGTTACATATGAATAAGGAATATTAGAATTACTTTTGTATCGCTTTTGCTGCTGTTTGTATACAAAAAAAACAGAATACTTTGATAGTAAAATGATGTGGAATTATTCTTGTCACAAAGACTGAACTTTGTTTTCAGAACGCGGATATCTGCTCCTTCAGCTGTTTTCCTTATTATGTTTCTTTTCTCTATTCTCTTCTTTATTTCTTTTTGTGTGTGATCAGAAATTGGGATGCCTTTCGCCAAACATGTCCGTTGCTTTGATTACAGTTCATAAAAAAGCATAATAGATTCGCAAAAAACAGTACCCAGTTTTCAATATTCCAGTAACACTACATTGCCCCCTCTAATGTGTAAATATAATATTACTTTTCGCAACGATGAAATATGAACGAAGAAAATGGAAGACGAAATATCATGACTCGCGTTTTAGCAAAACACCAATGTTTTTGAAACGGTCACGAGAAAGAAGGGGTAGAGGAAAGGCAGCGAGAAGAGAGGATGAAAATAAACGAAGGAAACGAGACAGATGCTCAAAAAGAAAAGAGGAAGAACAGGCGAAAGAAGAGAATGTGAAAAAAAAAATCCGATGAGGATTAGAAAAGACGCAGTAATAGTGTATTATAATATATATATATATTTATATATATATAGTATATAATATATATATATATATATATATATATATATATCTATATATATATATATATTATATTAACACTTTCAATGCAGCCACTGCTCATACTATTATCATCTTTAGCAATAAACTCAGTAATAATAATTAGCATTTAGTGTTGATTTGATAGTTTTGCCATTATTTTTTTCAGGAATATTACCTCCACTGGTCATTTCCAAAAATTGTTTATATCACCTAACATATGCCTTAAGATAAACAAAGATTTTCGTGAAAACACTTGATTCCTCAAATTTCAGTTTTGTTCTGTCGTATGAAAAGAGAAATATTCCAATTTACATGTTTCTTTTATTTTTGATTTCTTTAAAAATAGAAAGATATCAATAGAATGATATATAAAAATGTGTTTGTAAATGATCTTAGATATAATGATTCTACACTGAAAAGTTTAATATTACATCACACTTTTGTACTGCGATACACATAACGTAAATTTTTGTGTTTCTTTGTTAATATTTTTATCTGGCGGTTATGAGGTGGATCACCAACAGTGTGCTTTTGCTCTCGTTTTTAGCTCCCTTTATTCACTGTTGTCTTCCGATCTCCATTTTATTCTTATATCCTGTTGTCGTATGAATTAGTTGTGTTATGGAACGACAGTCCAGTCTTGAATATTGGTAAGAAAAGCGTTACGAGAGTGTTGGTTAATGTTAGTATATCTACTACGATAATAAGTTGATAAGTTTTGTGATTACTTCCCTTTTGGCGAGGAAGCCGAGAACGGGAAAAGAGGCTGAGTACGGCTTGTAAAGATCTTCGCCGAGGAAATCTCCAGCGAGGGCGCCTGAGGCTGGAGGGACATCCTAAAGTTTCAACAGAATCCTTAGGAGTGAAGAAATGTTACGGATCTACCGCAGAAGCCCTTGGAATTCCCTGAGCAGTCCTTTTTTTTACCAGTTTAACGCCGAGAGAAGAGGAACGTCCCCCCAAAGTAAGAAATATTCTCTCGAAATCCCTGCGGATTTCTCTGCTCCGGGAAGAGAAAAAAACTCGGCGAGACCAAGGAATGACAATCGAATTCATCCCCATTCCTCCCCTCACACGTCCTCGACGAGGGGCTCCTTTGCCGGGGAAGACTCCTCGATCCCAGCGCTGGAGTCTTCTGCCGAAGCGTCGAAGAGCTCGGCGTCATGTACCCCGAATCACCTGCAAAAGATTTTAGTCTTTAGCTCCGTTACATTTTTAAATACCTTAATCAAACAACGCCATTTAAATCAACTTTAAAAACCATTCCGACAGACACGTACACTTATCTTCTGTGCTAAGAACTTGATAATGGGAACTGCAAGGACAACGAAGACGAAGCCGTAGCCCGAAGTTGAAGAGCCCTACGGCGAGATGGAAGAGCCGCCCAGGGATGCATCAGGTTTCCCCCGAGGAATCCTGCCGTGGACAAGCCTGTAGACGCAGAAGGAGGGTATGAATGACACCTGGCATCTTTAACACTCTGTCTCCTATCTGTCTGTCAGTCTATTTATCTATTTGTCTATCTTCTGTTTATCTGTCTATCAATTTATTTATCTCTCCACCTTTCTATCTGTATATCTATCTGTCTATCCATCCATGTATCCGTTTATCTACCTACCTACCTATCTATCTATCTACCTATGCATGCATGCATGTATGTATGTATGTATGTATGCATGTATGTACGGAATGTATATATGTATCTAACTATATATTTAACTCTCTATCAATTTATCCATCTATCTATCAATATATCCACCTATCTGCTCATATATATATCTATCTACGCCCCCAATCCCCATCCCCTACCCTCGCCCCCCCACGGACCGCCATCCCCGACTCACCGCTGGAGAAGCACGCCCTGACGATGGCCTGTAGGGTGGCCTGGGCGCCTGGAGGAGCGATGTGGCTGGCGTAGGAGGCCATGACGGTGTGGAAGAGGCCGATAGCTGAGCCGTTGAAGAGCACGATGGCAGGAACCACCAGGGATTGACCACGAGGTAGAAGAGAGAGCCGCGTAGGGGGCCAGGGAGCCGATCGCGATGGCCATGACCGGGGTGTGGCCGAGCTTCTGGATGATCATGCCTGAGGGGGAGAGGGAGATTGGGTCGTTTCATAATTTATATTGTTATTATTATTTTTTTGTTTGTTTTATTGTTTTGTGTCAGGTCTTTTTGTTGTTGTTTGTTTGTTGTTTGTTTCATTGCTGTTGTAGGTGTTTGCTGCAATTGGCGTTGGCGTTTGCTGCTGTTGCTTTGCCAATAAGAATCAAAATCCTACAAAAAGAAAAAAAAAAATCTTCCAACGCCTAAAAAACACCACTCCGAAAACTCGACCTGAGATGAAGAAAAAGGAACTTCTCCTCCGAAGGTCTCGATTCCCATG